TGTATTTGTGAATGTTCAAACTTTCAAATAGGCTTTTCTGTTACAATGAATATCAATCTTTTCACAAAAGAATATATTCAATTTTTTTTCATAAATATCTGTCATAGTATAATACTTGAAATATTAACCAAAGTAGTTTGGTTCATGAACAAACACAAAATTAATGACAAATGCTTTCAGTTTCATTATTGTAAAAAACACAGTTTTCCTCAACATCAATCCTCAATCTTAATACAACTGTTGTTTATTTGACACAAATATTATAGCAGTGAGTGCAGCGGTAACATCAGATCCTATTTACGGGAGAGAGGGGATTTCGTCTGAAAGTTGGCCACTTTATTTAAACCCTACGCGGATTAGGGAGCTCGATTTGGCTGTGAGAGTGACTCCGACCAGAGTTCACCCCGTGTCGGAGTGGAAGTGGCGAGGGTCTAGTTTCGGAAAGGCCCTTTTTGGTAAATGCACATTTGCTGGAAAATGAGCCTCGCAGTAGAACACTGCCATCTCCTGGACAAATGTCTGCACCAGTCAATTCAAAACATTTGTCATTGTCTTACACTTACAAACTAATGAAGACTCACATGTGGCACAACTTATATAGACCAAAATATGCAGTCCAAAACCTGAACATGTGTCTGGACTGAGTTACAGAAAAGAAATGGAGAAGATGAAGTTGAGTTCAAAAACAAGTTAAGTAGTCAGAGGTCTGATGTAAACTGAAGAGAACAAACAATGATTAAAACACTTTCAGGTTCTTCTCTCCACATCTTTTCTGTTACATTTTGCTGGACAGGTTTATTATTCTGTTTGCAGCAATAATCTGCTCTGCCCACAGATCTCCACACTGATCTTTAGTAACGATGGTTAGAATATTTCCTCCTCTCCCTTCAGCTCTGAATGCCTCTTCTATTCAATAATACTCACAGTTCAACAGCAGGAAACATTTTCTCCTGACATCAGGTCTTACTGAGCCACGACTGGTTTCCTCTGTAGTATTAGTAACTAACTGAACAGAAACAGTAATCTGTCACATCTGATTTCTTTCTGTTTGAATAGAACAAAATGTGAAATCCAACATTTCCACATTTAGAGAAAAGACTGAAGAGAAATCAGAGATCAGAAACAATCCAGCACTGATCCACTTAAGTTACTCTGACATGTTCAGTCACTAACACCCTGTTGGCTTCAGTGGACTATGACTGATGTGGTTTAGACACGCAGGGGAGGCAGGCAGGTATGGGCACAAGGGAAGGTGTCCTCTCCAGAGGTATACAACGTAACAATCCTGTGAAGACTGAGCAGAACTGCAGGGCTTATGAAGCAGCACAGAAAGAATCAGGTGTGCTAATCAGTCTGCCAGTCAGGCGAGTGAGCCAGCCCCATGCTTCCCCACCAGTCACGCCTCCAGCCAACCTGCAAGGGTAGAAAGTCGGTAGAGCCACAAGGAAGAGCAAGAGAAAGGCTGAGCGACAGAAAAACCAAAACACGCCAGCCTCACACACTCAAAAACAGAAAGTAACAAAACACAGTCCTCCACACACAGACCCTCCCAGCTTAGTCAGAGTTGGGACATCGTGACAATGACTAGTGTCTTTACTGGGACCTGTGTGGACCTGGATCTAGTCTCAGTCCTGTTTTCTGTATTTTAAAGTCTTATTGTGTCCCCTGCCAGCTGAAAGCTTCCTGCAGCTTCTGTCCAATAATCTGTCTGAAACCTGTCTAATTTATACTCAGCAGGTCTCAGATGAAGCTCTTCCTTCATGGTTGTGATGATGTTGTTGGAACTAACAACTCGTCCTGTTTCACATCAACACGCTCGGAGCTGGATGGAAAACCCCGAGTTAACAGAGCCAGTCCATAAGCAGCTTCATGATACTGGTTCTCCAGCACGGCCTTGTTGCTCTGAGAGACCCAGACTCAGTTAAACCAGCTCCAGGATTCAGGACCCACATGTGAGGGAGCAATAAAGAGTATTTAGGATTCATTTCTGATTTGGATTCCACACACATGGAATCATTTTCATTTGCTGAATCATCATGAAGACGTTCAGAGCCTCTGCTGCTGCTGTTATTCCCTTTTACACTTCTGGAGGAATATTAATATTAGAATTTCCCCTTTTACTGTCCGTCAGATCGGCCGACCAATCAACAAGCAGCCTGTTTCTGCCCGGTAACAGACGTCCTCATAGGATCCAGCTGGGGCTCCTCTCTGCTCCACCTGTGAAAGTGAGGGGAACATCCTGGATGATGGAGGAGCTCGGTGGATCTCTGGGTCACCGGCTGGAGGACGGAGGAAGCAGAATAACTCAGAGACAACATGCTGCCCATGAGGACGTCCCAGCAGAGACATGGAGGGGAGGGTTACACCATCACTACACATCTGTGTGTGTGTGTGTTGAAGAACAAACATCACATGACACACCAGTCTTTCCATAACACTTATTACTTACATTAATTAAAAAACAGGCTGCTAACATTGAGAGGGTCTTCTAGGGACATCAGTCAGGCCTTTAAGGAAACATTTTAAATGTTGTTGCTGATATTGTAAAACAAATGCAAACAAAAACCAAAGTTTTCTCTTTGGAAATGCTGACCGTCCAGTGTACACCTGATCATCAGTCAGGGCCACAGTGCTGACTTTGTTAGTGTGGGCATACTTACAGAGGTCCAGCAGGTCTTCATGTGTTGCTGGCAGCATTTCTGCACAGTGAGCTTCTGCTTTTTATACGTTTTCCTTATGTGATTTTTGAATAATATATCCACATAAATACAAATGTATGGGAGGAACTGATCCACAGGTGAACAGTAAAACATGAAACTATAACAAAACATACAAAAATAAGTTACACACAAAGTCAGAGTCAAGATATGTTCAGTCAGGATAAGGAGATGTGTACGAATAAAACAAGTCACCACAACAAACACCACCTTACACATTGCATCCTTCATCACCTGAAGTAGGAAGTACATGAATCAAGAAACCCAATCCATGTGGATCCTGACCTGGACTCTTCGTCACTTCCTCCTCTATGCACTCCAGTTCAAGCCGAAGCTCAAAGACCAGACCAGGATCCCCCAGGAGCCTGAGGCCCAGACCTGGAAGAGAGTGAGAGGAATGAAGCTGTCAGCTGACTAAGAACAAACTAAAAGCAGTCATCAGAAGAAACTGGATAACGCCAACCTGTCTACTGCTCTCTCAACTCTGATTCACAACCTGGAGCCAGTAGATTGGGGACTTTTAAAAGGCCACAAGAGGAAGCACTGGAGGCAGAGGCTCTATCAGGTGACAACAACAGCTGGAAGGACGAGGAGGAACTAGATGACCACAGACCCGTCACCCTGACCTCTGTCGTTATGAAGTCTTTTGAGCACCTTGTGTTGTCCCACCTTAAAGCCCTCACAACCCCCAACTGGGGGTTATTACTGCTGTAACTACCAGTCACCATTGTTATCTTAAGCTTACACCATTTTAAACTGCGTAAGTTAGCCTAGCGGTTAGCTGGCGTGTCATCTAACAAGTTACTCATACTTAACAAAATGCTAAACCAGGTGTGTTCACTGTGTCTGCGTCTTTAAACATAATACCGGATTTATACTTCTTACACACTGTTAATTTAAGTAACTGCATCTCAGACCTGTTGAATTTCAGCGTTATGTGCAGTGAGGTAGGGTGGGCTACATTTCTGGGGAAGCCAAGTGAGACAAGATGTCCTTATAGGAGACAAAACAGCCAATTATGTAATAAGGTGTGCTGATACAGTGAACTTTACATAAAATTGGATCATACATTTAAGATGCACTTGCATTTACTGATTTTCTCACCGTATGCTGTCTAATAAGTCTGTTTTATTTAATCCCAGTATCCATTCAAAGGAGGCCTTTGTCTCCTGCCAGGTCATTAGTCTGAATAAGAACCTGTTATTTAATGAGCCTGGTAAAATAAAGGCACAGTTCCATCAAATGGAAATATTCTTCATGTCTTGTGCATCATTTAAGACAAACTTCCACAATAAAAGTCTGGAACCAGCAGAAGATCTGTGGCCCGAATATGATCAGAGACACGTGACTGTCAGGTCAAATTAAATCAACATGATGGCTGACTCTTTTTTCTAGATGGGGGGAAAACATGTAAACATTTATAGGCGTACTCTGTGCTTTTAATACCTGCTGCTGCCACAGAGAAGAGATCCTCCCCAAATATTATTCCCAACTACCAGTATTTATTTATTAAGTGAGCATCACATTAACATGTTGTTGTTATATTTCTAATTTCTTCTTTATTAACGGAGACTAAAGAGGTTTGCAGGCTACATTCACAACACACAGTTTTCCTTCAGTGGCTTTGTGTTTGCATCTGTTTGGGCTGCTCATTAATGCAGCTGAATAGCCAGCTGATGTCCACATGTTCAGCTCTCTGCCTCCTATTCAAGCTGATCACCTGAAGAGAGGTGAAAATGCGCATCAGTCGCCTTTTCAAGCAGCTGATCCCATTTGAATAGAGAGCCGACCTGGACAAACACACGATGGCCCGTTAAGTGAACAAACAGCTTCACTGTGATGTTAATGATGTGTTTGGACTCTCTTAGCTGCCGAGAGAAGCAGCAGATGTTTGTGAACAAACTGTCTGTTTCATCTGATTTCACCATTTAAACAGTAACCGTAATATAGCTACTCCTTTGTGGCCCGGGGAGAAAGTCCCAGACTCCCTTCAACAATCGTGCAGTTTAGTGACTTGTTGAGTTAGAGGACACTTTAGAAACTTTGTGAAACGCTGTCTACGACTAATTCTTAATGATTCTGCCTTCCTGTAAATTCAACATTAAATGTGACACATGAAGTTATTTCTGTCTTTGTTGTACAAAAAGCTTCAGCAGGATATTTTCATGAGCCTCTGATGTGATAATAACAAGCGCTTCATTAAAACTCTGCTCTGTGTGAAGCACACTCCCTCATACACATCAAATATGATCAGCTGGTTTCAGGAAACCAACTAACTAAACTTCATCTTCTGCCTGAAATCAAGGAGCCATGTTTCTAAACGGCCTTAGCGACAGTAACTAAGGGGCGGGGCGAGACGCCGTGACGTCGCGAGAACACTCCGCGGGATCCCGCAGCGCTCCTGTATCTCAGCCTGAAGAGCTCCGAGACCAGAATCCAGACTCAGTCCAGGACGACACGGTCCACCAGTCACAGCGGAGACCTGCAGGACGATGGAGAACCAGAACCCGGACCGCAGGAGCCAAACAGCAGCCTCGTGCTCTGATAGCGCCGATGTTCAGGTCAGTGTTCATGACTTCATCACGAGACTAAAGACACGAGGAAGAGTCTCGAGGGTCCGTGTATCATCCGTTCATTCTGTTGTTAGAGATCAGAGCCTGAAAACCCGCTCCAGGGTTTGTGTTGACGTGGTTTGATTTCCAAAGTGTCTCCGTGGTTCCTGTTTTCATCTTGAAGAGAGGAAGCTGAAAGAAGAAGAAGAAGAATCAATATCTAAAGAGATTATATATAATAGTATAACAGTCATATGGGACATTTTTCTTTCTGCTTTGAGTAGTAAGCTACTTTTAATTTTAATAGGCTACATTTTCCTGCTTGTAACCTACTTACATACTTGTACTTAACTTTTTTTAAGCAGTACTTGCAGAGTATTTTTACAATGAGATAGGCCTATTAGTACTTTTAATTTTAAAAAAGGATCTTAATACGCCTAATTTAGGCTACTGTTCAACACTGGCTAAAAAAGCTAAAGCTTCTGGTTGCAAAGAGGTTGGAGAGTTTTTGACTGCGTCTGAATCAGTAATAAATTAGCATGAATTTGGCTACAGGCTACTCCCCAACATCAGCAACTCTCACTATATTTGATCAAAGGCAAGTGATTTCGTCCAGGAAAAAAGAAATAAGCACCTACAGTTACCGCATCCATAGCGCTTCCAACTTCCACTCCGTGTGTGCACGCGCATGTGAACTGGCTGAAATGCGTCACGGTGACGGCGAATCTCTTTCATGATATCACACTTGGTTTTGGTCTAAAATGGGACAAACAACAACAACAACGTGGTTCTGTTGGCTTTGTATTGTGCACAAAGTACCAGTTTGAGTATTGTAAGGAAGCAGAGTATCGGCCCCTCCTCCACTGCTTGGTACCAGCTCGACTCTACTCGCCTTTGTTTGGTTTTCCATTGAGTAAAAGTTGTACCTGTAACAGCCTTCACTTTTCCAGCAGTGGAAAGCTGTGCCGCTCTGGGCCGTCTCGTCCTCTCATTAGCTTTGCAGCAGCATATAGCGTCAGTTTGCTACTAACATAACCCACAACTTAGCTAACGTTAGTTACATTACTTGCGAATTTGTTGTTCACTCTATATCATGATGTTTGTACTGTTATTGGATTTCTCCAGAATCACACAAGTTTACCCCACCTTTACAATGTAGAGAAATATCATGAGTTAATTATTAAAATATTAAAATATGAGGAAATTAACTCGGTAACAGTAACTCATGACATTTTATTATGAGTTTTTGGTCATATTGCACAGCCCTGCCTGCAGTCATTACTGTGTAGACAGAACCGGAATACAGAATTCGGATTATGAATCGTTACGTTATAATACCTCACATTTAGCGGTCAGCTTTTAAATTAACCTTGAGGTTGGTTTAGGCGTGTGCTACTTAACAATCGAGACAATAAAATGAATACTGCTTTCAAAAAGCTGATCTTCTGTCCAGTGTCGGAGCAGCTTATATGCTGGTACTGCAACACACCGTGACAAACTGACACTACATTTATACACAGAAAGGAATAACTTCATTCATTAGATTAGCCGAATTTACAAGAGGGGACCAATAATAACAACTTTATAGTAGTTAACGTTTCACAAAGAAATAGTTTCCACTAACCCAACCACTCACAAATGCTCAACGCTGATGGCCACATATTGATTTCTGTTTATTTTTATTTTTTACTATTTAAGCTCTCTCTCTCGTCTAAGAATTGAATGGTTAGTATCATAAACGGCGCACAAGTCTGTCACAACAAGCTGTCAGTGCCAGAGACCCACCTTAAAGTTATAAGCAAGCATATAACAGGATTCATGAAAAACCTGGAAAAGTCATGCAATTTGAGAATGTTGCGAATTGTTACGAAGAAGCTAAAACTAAAGCCGTCAGTATGTATAATGTCTTTTTATATAGCGCTCATTCATAACTTTTTTTAAAAATTATTTTTGAAAAACAAAAAGGGACAATACATATTAATGAACATTTTCACAAATGTAAATATGCCAGATTGTAGCCTTAGGCTAATTTCCATCTGCAGACCCCCTGACAGGTTGATGTTGCACACAAATTAATAAATACATACAAATGCACTATACACAGGCTATATACAGAGAAACAAGGACAAAAACAGTGATCACATCATGTCAGAACAGACACTAACAACAAGAGTGGACAACAAAAGACATATAGAAATAGGAAAGCATCGACTATATTACACAAATCATAATTTTGCACACGCCCTGTCTAACCTGATATTGCACTGACCCACATTACACTGAACCCTATTACACAACCCATGTTATACTGACTCTTATTGCATAACCCATATCACACTGAAAATTGTATCCCTTTTTTTTAATGCACTGATTCTGTTTAACGTCTGATATGTAATAATTAACTAAACATGATCACATGTTTGTGTATCCCTCAGCCACACTTTTAAACGACTCCTAAAGGTAGGAAGACTTGTGCTTCCCCTCACTGACAGTGGAATACTATTCCAGAAACTCTGAAACGTTCTGTGAAAGTCACAATCACCTCTCACAGTGGCTCTAGTCACTCGAGTCCCGGCAACACTGCTAGACTTTTGTTTAATAAAATCACTCAGTGGTGGATGCGCCAAACCATGTATAACCTTATAGATTAGACAGGCTGATTTAAATAATTTGAAGTTAACAAAATATAAAAACGTATATTTATCTAAAATTTGAGAATGGTGATGTGACGAAGGTTTCTTGTCTAATATTTTCAATGCTCTTTTGTAGCATACTTTCGATTGGCCCAATAGCAGCATGACTCGTATAGGACCAACTTGTGATACAGTTCTCAATATGAGCCAGTATCATAGAGTGCAGGAATGTAATCGCTGCTGTATCCGTTAATGATGCACAAATCTGTCTAAAGTTCCGTATATTAACATTTACAGTTTTTACAACTTTTTTTAACGTGTTTTTAAAGGATAATTTCGAGTCTATCAGCACTCCCAAATACTTAAATTCCTCAACATTTATTAATTCTTGTCCACCCAAGCAAAATTTTACAGCGGCTAGGGTTGTTTTAGGTTTACTAAAAAACATTGATACGGTCTTTTTAACATTAAGGCACAGGCATGAATCATTCAGCCATTTTTGTAAGTCATTTAAAGCCAATGAAAGCTGATGGGCTGCATCGTCAGTACTTTTGGCTTGTGTAAAAATTACCGTATCGTCTGTATACATAATTGTGTCCACATTTTTGCACACATTGGGCAAATTATTCACATAAAGTGAAAATAACAAGGGACCTAGAATTGATCCCTGAGGGACACCTTGTGTATAGTGAAGATAGGGTGACTTACTATTCTTTATTTGCACGCATTGTCTTCTATCTGATAGATAAGACTGTATCCATTTAACAGTTTGATTGCTAAAGTTAAATGTTAACAGTCTAGACAGGAGCTTAAGGTGATTCACAGTATCAAACGCACGCTTAAAGTCAACAAAAACAGCCGCAACATAACGTTGTTTTTGTCTAAATAAGACTTCACCTTCTCAACAAACAGACAGCCGTTTCAGTTGAGCGAAGAGGTCAAAATCCGAATTGCATAGGGTGCAAACCCGGGTTGGAGTCACTAAGATGCGCAATAATAGAATTAGCACCCACTTTTCTGCTATCTTTGAGAAGATAGGAGGTATGCTAATAGGTCGATAATTAGCAGGGTCTAATTTATCACCCGATTTATATATTGGTATGACATTTGCCACCTTCCAACTCAAGGGGAAGACTGCCTGCGATTGATAAATTAATAAGATGGGTCACAGGCACCAAGATATAAGATTTATAATGCTTCAGAAGATTGGTATCAAGTCCAAACACATCCCTTGCTTTAGAACTTTTCAGTTTAGAGATTATGTTTTCTACTTCATTTTCTGTAATTATTTGAATATTAAACTTTGAATTTTGAGTTAAGGCATCCATATAGGGGTCGGTGTTGCCAATATTTTGTTGAGAGTCACGAGTTAGAAAACAGTTGTGCAATCTCATAAATGGTACTTTGGAAATAATCATTTAATTTAGTTGCCAGGCTGAGAGGCTCTGATATCAATTCATTAGCAAATTTGAGTTCAAGGTCTTTATCAGCAGTGTACTTACTTTTACCAAGGAGTTTGTTAATATTTTCCCAAATTAGCTTACAATTTCCTTTGGCACCATTAATTACAGTCATGAAAAAATTAGCTTTTGCCATTCTCAGTTCATTTTCTCATTCTCAAGTTTGTTCCTTGCGGATACAAAATTTAATCGATCAGTAGTTAATCCAGATTGTAATGATTTTTTAAGTAGTTTGTCTCTGAGTGTCATAAGCTGTTTACACTCACTATTGATCCAAGGCAAGGAGTAAACTCGTTTCTTTAAATGACCCGCTTTCTGAAACTGAGACAGAATCCCTTTAATAGAGGAGTATAGTAGATCACAACATTTATTAGTGTCATCACAAAATAATATACTTGACCAATCAAGAGTATTTAGAGCTGCAATTAAACGTTGTTCTTGGCTCTTTGGAATAAATGTTTGTTTTATATTAATGTTTTTTCTGACACTTCTAAATCGTTTTTTAGTCAGCTTTCTGAAAAGGAATATGGCATTGTGGTCAGACAAGCCAGAGCCAGTCAAGAAAATGTATGTTTTTATTATTCTGTCTAGTTTGTTAGAGAACACCAGGTCTATTAGAGTTTTAGAGTGATTTGTTATTCTAGTGGGATCACTGATCATTTGTTAGTCTAAAATTATCTGTAATTTCTTTCAGTTTCTTTCTGTCACTTTTGTTGTCCCAATTTATATTTAAGTCTCCCATTAGAATAACCTCTTTATTAAAGTCACAACAACTCAGAAGTGCTTTAAGTTGATCATAAAAATGTACTTTTGCTGAAGGCAGATGATAAAGACATTGAGAGTGGCACTTTAACTCCAACACATTCAATTTGTATTTCGTTAGGCCGTTATTTGTGTACATTTTAAAGAGTCCTTCATATACAGTAACACCCCTCCCCCCTTTCCTTGATGCCTATCCTTTCTAAAGACATTGTAGCCTTGTAATGATACCACTGCTTGTGGGGAAGAGGGTTTAAGCCAAGTTTCTGTAAGCCCTAAGAAATATATATTTGAGTTAATGAGAAGATGCTCTAATTATTCCCTCTTAGGGGCCATACTGCGTATGTTCAGATGGCCACCTAAGAGCCCTTTGTTTTTACACTGTGGATCAAATATAGTCCTGGCTTGATTAAGAGTCTGGAATAACATACATGATTGAAGTTTTTTAAATACAGGGTTCCTTTGTGTACGCACAGGTATGATGGATTGTAGTGACATACTAGGCTCAGTTATAATAGGGTCCTGCAGTGGTGGTGTTAGCCCAGTGAGCTGCTGTAGCCCCGTTAGCCGTGGTGGAATTAACCCAGGGAGCTGCTGTATCCCAGATAGCAATGGTGGTATTAGCCCAGGAAGCTGCTGTATCCCAGATAGCAGTGGTGGAATTAACCCAGGAAGCCGCTGTAGCCCAGGTAGCAGTGGTGGAATTAACCCAGGAAGCCGATGTAGCCCAGGTAGCAGAGGTGGTATTAGCCCAGGAAACTGCTGTAGCCCAGGTAGCAGAGGTGGAATTAGCCCAGGAAACTGCTGAAGCCCAGGTAGCAGAGGTGGAATTAGGCCAGGAAACTGCTGTAGCCCAGGTAGCAGAGGTGGAATTAGCCCAGGAAACTGCTGTAGCAGAGGTGGAATTAGGCCAGGAACCTGCTGTAGCCCAGGTAGCAGAGGTGGAATTAGCCCAGGAAACTGCTGTAGCCCAGGTAGCAGAGGTGGTATTAGCCCAGGAAGCTGCTTTAGCCCAGGTAGCAGTGGTGGAATTAACCCAGGAAGCCGATGTAGCAGAGGTGGTATTAGCCCAGGAAACTGCTGTAGCCCAGGTAGCAGAGGTGGAATTAGCCCAGGAAACTGCTGTAGCCCAGGTAGCAGAGGTGGAATTAGCCCAGGAAACTGCTGTAGCCCAGATAGCAGAGGTGGAATTAGCCCAGGAAACTGCTGTAGCCCAGGTAGCAGAGGTGGAATTAGGCCAGGAAACTGCTGTAGCCCAGGTAGCAGAGGTGGAATTAGGCCAGGAAACTGCTGTAGCCCAGGTAGCAGAGGTGGAATTAGGCCAGGAAACTGCTGTAGCCCAGGTAGCAGAGGTGGTATTAGGCCAGGAAACTGCTGTAGCCTAGGTAGCAGAGGTGGAATTAGGCCAGGAACCTGCTGTAGCCCAGGTAGCAGAGGTGGAATTAGCCCAGGAAACTGCTGTAGCCCAGGTAGCAGAGGTGGAATTAGGCCAGGAAACTGCTGTAGCCCAGGTAGCAGAGGTGGAATTAGGCCAGGAAACTGCTGTAGCCCAGGTAGCAGAGGTGGTATTAGCCCAGGAAGCTGCTTTAGCCCAGGTAGCAGAGGTGGAATTAACCCAGGAAGCCGATGTAGCAGAGGTGGTATTAGCCCAGGAAACTGCTGTAGCCCAGGTAGCAGAGGTGGAATTAGGCCAGGAAACTGCTGTAGCCCAGGTAGCAGTGGTGGAATTAACCCAGGAAGCCGATGTAGCAGAGGTGGTATTAGCCCAGGAAACTGCTGTAGCCCAGGTAGCAGAGGTGGAATTAGCCCAGGAAACTGCTGTAGCCCAGGTAGCAGAGGTGGATTTAGCCCAGGAAACTGCTGTAGCCCAGGTAGCAGAGGTGGAATTAGGCAAGGAAACTGCTGTAGCCCAGGTAGCAGAGGTGGAATTAGGCCAGGAAACTGCTGTAGCCCAGGTAGCAGAGGTGGAATTAGGCCAGGAAACTTCTGTAGCCCAGGTAGCAGAGGTGGAATTAGGCCAGGAAACTGCTGTAGCCCAGGTAGCAGAGGTGGTATTAGCCCAGGAAACTGCTGTAGCCCAGGTAGCAGAGGTGGAATTAGGCCAGGAAACTGCTGTAGCTGTAACACAGGACTTAAAACGGGTCCAGGATTTTGCTCAACATCACCAGCCAGAAGTATTATCATCAAAAAATTCACAACCCCAGGGAATGATCTAGATGCTGTTTGATCAAATTTACCTGGGGGCGGCCTAGCATGTCCACATTCCAGGATTCTTGCATACAGAAGATGTTGGCTCCTCATTGCTGGATAGAGAGTTAAGTTATCCATTTTCCTTGGACATGTTAAACTCAAGAAGAGGTAGAAGGACAAGAGAAGACCAGACAAGCATGGCAAAATCCAAGGGTTTTTGATATACTTTTGTGGCAGACACACAGGACCTGCCAAACACTGTGGCTGCACCCTGGCGGCCATCTTGAGTGCAGGACACATCATCATAACTAGGGGTGTAACAGTACATGTATTCGTACCGGACTGTTTCGGTACAGGACTTTCGGAACGATGCACATGTGCACCGAATGCAATCTTTAACGTCACATATTAGGCTGGTTTTGTGTGTGGGACATATGTAAATTCCAGTTTCCACACAGACATATTAAGTGGCGGACCAAATCTCCGCCTTGCGGCGCTACACAAGCAGCACGCTTTTGCCCAGCACCTTGCTAACTAGCAACTTGAGCATCATGGCCAGTGCGCGGAAGCCAGAGCTTGAAGACCCTCCCTTATTGTTAAGGTCTCCTGTTTGGGAAGACTTCGGTTTCCTAGTGAAATACAACGACAGACAAAGACAAGTCGTTAAGACCAAAGCAGTGGGCCGACATTTCTCAGTAGTGATCGGGTGTGTTTCTGGCAACATGTCAAACTTGCTAACTCATTAATGGTATCACACGGCAAGGGAAAAATTAAAAAACGAGCACAGTGTAAACCCCTTTCAGCATTCAAACTGAGCAGGTCTTCAACCTGAGATTGATAATGCTCATAGACTGAATAAAAAAATAAGAAGAATGCTGCTTTGTAATCCATATTATTACATTTTTTTATTATATTTTATTAGCTATTGTAGTGAACAACGGTGTGGATTTGTGCATTTTATATTGAATAAATTTGGAGCTACTCCAAATTCCTCTCTCCTCTCCCAGAGAAGAAAATGGGGTCAAAGCTGCTTTTTCTAAGTACTATCCCTGACAACTGGCACCCTTTTGATTCCGAACCTGATAACACGGGGCCTGACTGTTAAACTGACAAAGGGACATGAACCAGCGATTAGCATTTCCCTGAACAGCCTATCAAAACTGGCCCCCCCACACATGTTTCCGTGGCAACTGACCTTGTTCTTTGTTTTATTACGCCATCAAAAGGAATACCCCTGTCTCACCCAAGTGTGACATGGCCCAGAGAGCCGAACTTTCAATAACCAAAGTCTCCAAAGATCTGCCCCTCAGTTTGTTTTATTTTCTAAAGCAGGCTGTCGACAAGCAGTAAGACCTAACCAACATTCTGTGGTCAGAGATTTCCTTTTAACTCCTAAACTCATAGCGTTAGCTCACTTTCATTAGTTCTCCTATGCCGTATGAGTCAAATGCTTCCCACAATCAAACCTCCAGGCTCATTGTTCAGCAATTGTTTATCTTCCCTGTATTCAACCATCCCTTTTTATCACATTAGTTAGAGAATAAATTCACTGTAATATAATCAAGAACTGTTTCTACGTCCCTGCCAAGAGAATTGACCCTTTAGATATGAGACTGACTGATTGATTTAAGATAATTGAGCGATTATTAACTAACTGATCACTAGTGATAATTGTATAATTAGACATCTACACATCTGGGTTTATAACAACTCCGGTGGTGCCATTAACGTGGAATATTGTTGATTTTATGTTGGTTGCGAAGGTTGGTTGTCGAAGTGTCCTTGGGCAAGATACTGAACCCCGGCTGTTCCACCAGTGTATGTGTGAGTGTGAATGTTAGTTTCCGTTTGAGCACTTAGGCTCAGTGTATGAATTTGTATGACTGGTGAATGCAGATGTAGTGTAAAAGCGTTTTGAGTGGTCAAAGACTAGAAAGGCTCTACAAGTACGGAGCATTTACATGCTAATAGCATACTGATAATTTATTTAGTATCCAGTACACAGTGAGTGTGTATGACTGAGTATGTCATAGACAGCACATACGCACTATGTGGTACAGAAGGTTAGTATGTGATTTCAGAGATGTGCTCTAATGTCATTTATGGTTTTAGATAGCTCTCTCCAACATGACATCTCACTGTGTTTCTCTCTGTTGATATAGAGAAGGAGAAGAAGAGATGGACTCAAATGTCACCGCTGTCAGTACTGTGACAAATCCTTCACAACATCTGGATATTTGAAGATTCATCAGAGAGTTCACACTGGAGAGAAACTGTACAGCTGTGAACAGTGTGGAAAAACTTTTACCCAATCAGGTAGCCTAAAAATCCACCAACGTGTTCACACTGGAGAGAAACCGTACAGCTGTGACCAGTGTGGGAAAACTTTCACTACATCACGTGAACTTCAAATCCACCAACGTGTTCACACTGGAGAGAAACCCTACAGCTGTGATCAGTGTGGAAAAACTTTCACTATGTCAGGTAGCTTAAAAAAACACCAACGTGTTCACACTGGAGAGAAACCCTACAGCTGTGATCAGTGTGGAAAAACTTTCACTATGTCAGGTAGCCTAAAAAACCACAGACGTGTTCACACTGGAGAGAAACCCTACTGGTGTGAACAGTGTGGGAAAACTTTTACTCAATCAGGTCACCTAAAAAACCACCAACGTGTTCACACCGGAGAGAAACCGTATTGGTGTGCACAGTGTGGGAAAATGTTTACTCAATCAGGTCAACTAAAAAACCACCAACTTCTTCACACTGGAGAGAAACCGTACTGGTGTGAAAAGTGTGGGAAAACTTTCACTACATCAGGTGAACTTCAAATCCACCAACGTGTTCACACGGGAGAGAAACCATACTGGTGTGAACAGTGTGGGAAAACTTTTACTCAATCAAGTCACCTAAAAATCCACCAACGTGTTCACACTGGAGAGAAACTGTACTGGTGTGAACAGTGTGGCAAATCTTATTCCAACAGGAGAACCCTTACAAGACATAAATGCATTCACAGCTAGCTGTTTCCTTCTGCCCTGAATAAAACCACCTGTTATCATGTGACTGTGCTGGACTAACGTCATGTGATGACAGCTGAGGAAGTTTGATTTGGAAAGAGCTGGAAAGCGTCAGTGTGGAGGTTTTATCAGCCAATAGTGAAATTAAACTACAGTAGCCAGGCATTTTTATAGCCCTATATGTCAGGGATGAAACGATTACCGGTTCAATGATAAACCATGGTAAAATTCCTGATGGTTATTATGACCGTACACATTTTAATTACCATGATAACCGTGTTCGGTTGCCACCCGGCCCGCTGTCGGGGGGGGTCAAAGGGCACAGATGACCCCGGCCCAAGGCCTAGGGGGGGGCCCATGCAAAGGTCTATGGTCAACCCTTAAATAGGATCAAGTTAGACACTTTACTTACTGTCTTTTATGAATAACAAAACTTTGTAGATGTAATTACATGATAAATAAACTTAAATAAACTCATCTGATAACCCCCTACCTCACTGTTATTGTGAAAATGGTGCGGGCAAACATTTAAGCGAAACACTGCAGGCTGTCAGGGGCCCACGAAAGAGCAACCGAAACATAAAAATCATAGTGAATCAATGGCCAAAAAATGTGTTCACAAGCACCGTGTATGTCTGACAGGTGAGGAGCTAACAGGCAGACTAGCAAACCTTTAGCTTGCTTTAACCAAATAATGTAACACCAGGCGTTGAGCGTGACAAACACGCAGTTGACAATATTCACACGTTGTAACGCTACACATTTATTTTCTCACACGGTGAAAAACAAATGTATAACTGATAATAACATGTCGGGGTGAGTGAACTCCTTCCAGCTGATGCGAGTGATCTCGCGCTGTGAGTCGCGGTAAATAACATCTAAAATCTGAGGCGCAGACCTGCTCTGTTTGATCGCAGCACAGTAAAGGGCAGGTATACTGTTTAGAATTGTTATTAATTCTCATAAATGATGACGTTATTCTCGTAATATTATGACTTTTTTTCTGGTTTTACCTGTATGTGCTAATAATAATATTAATCCTCTATATGTCATTACTTTATGTTCTTTGCTCATCTTATGTGGTGTTATAATTTCCACTTAGTGTACCAGTGTTTTGATGTAACAATCAACATCCCGCCCCTCCTGTGACACATGGTTTGACTGTGTATGCAGAGCCAGTGAGCAACGGACTTTAAAAAAAAAAGCTCATTTATTTTGTCTCCTAATGTGTCTGCTTAAACAGTAAGATGAGAGCATTCATTGATGAACTGACAGTTTGTTATAAACTTAATGTGACCATGTGACGGCTAAAGGGGGAACTGTAATAGAAACAAATAGATTTGACCTGTTTGTACTTTTAATAATCCTCTATATGTCATTACTTTATGTTCTTTGCTCATCTTATGTGGTGTTATAATTCCCACTAAGTGTACCAGTGTTTTGATATAATGACCTTCTGTGAGATTGTTTTGTTTCATGCTTTCCTGTGAGAAAGAAGTTTCCACTGTGGCTCAAGGCTGAGAAAGGCTTTTCTGTTGGACTCTCCAATTATTCTCTAGCATTAAATGTCTTCTCTGTTTCTCTGGGTCAGACTCTCTAACAGCCCTCTGGTGTATGAGCTCTGCCCTTCAGCTGAATCACTCTGTTATTCTTACTTTTAATAAAGATCACAAAGACAGCTGTTTGTTGTAACGTCTTTATTTCTCAATTTATTCAGAAGAAAATACACAATTTACACCAACAATCAGACCGCCAGTCCTACGTACTGTGATATGTTCATCATCCCGTCAGGTCTGTGAGGGCGCTGGATTGAAAATAAATCCAGATTTATAAATGACACTTAAAGGCAGGGTAGGTAAGTTTGATTTTGAAAGTATCCAACAGAGAAACTCGCACCTCGTCCCTTCTGGGCTCCTCCCAAAACCACGCCCCCAAAACAAGTGACTGCGTGTTGCCGACACCGCTGAAGGACGAGCGCAGTGCAGCGGCTCACATGAGGGGTAAGAAAACAAATAACTTTATCATTATGAAAATAAACAACTAACCCAGCTGTTAGTACTCATTATCAAGCTAGCATTTTAATATTGGATCGGTTTAAAAAGACTGACTTTGATTCAGTAACGAGCTGGCTAGCTAACTGTTAGCATCAGGTAGCTGTGCTAACAGCTGTGCTAACATTGGGCAAAGCTAAAAACAGACTGATACACAGTTTCCTGTTTCCATCAGTTACACTACACGAAGGTGAATTTCGTGCTAGACTCATAACACGTACGTTGTTTTGCATGTTAGAGCTTCCATGGTGACAGCAGTATTGTCTCTGAGGACTGCACCCCAGAGCCAAGCACAGACCGGGACAGGACCGGGGTCGAGGCGAAGCAGAGGAGGGAGGGCTGCCGGGGTCCGAGGAAGAAGAGGCAGGACGGGGAGGACGAGGTGCAAGCGGAGCAGCACATACCTGCGTTAAGCTTCACACTCCAACAACAGCATATGAACAGGTGTGTATATATATACATATATATTTTAATATCAGTACATTATTTTTCTCTGTGTACTTGTCTCAAAGTTCCTCTGGTGTTTCCCTCTAAGCCCTCTGACTGTCAAAAATAAAGTGCTATATAAATGTAAACACTGTAGCACTGTGTGGACACAGAAGTCCTGTTAGAAACAACAAGCCCCTGTTCAATAAAAATATCTGATCATGTTGATGAATGTTCTTTCCAATTACACCAATCTTTCCCATTTGGGGTTCTAACAACTATATATTCCTTTACAGGCCAGAATCTGAGGACTGTGGACAACATCCAGACTACAGTGTTTCCATGCACCACACATGGCTGATCTTCCAGACTCAGGACAGACTAACAGGCAGTTCAGTCAGGCAGCATACAGACAGTTTGTAGTGTGGCAGTGTGGAGCACTTAGACACAGAGTCGTGATACTGAGTTGCTGTTTCTGGAAGACTCACAACTGTTCTCCTGATCCACCAGGACAATACAGAGGTTTAATCCTAGCAGGGTGGAAGACGTAATGTCACTAACTGCTACACAAATAATTCCATCCACTGTGTGGATAAATACCTGTACATTGTTCTTGTTTTATTCCCAGGAGGGGAGAGAAAATACAAAGTATATTTTTCCCTGTTCTGGATGATATTTTCATTCTTTTTTTAAATAAAACATTGAAATTGATAAATGCCTTTTCTTTACACTTATAGCATAAACAATCAAACAACTACATTTATGTCTGAAATGACATCCAAATGTGGTATAACACTTGTTTATTGTTATTAAATACTACTAAAAACTACAACCTGTATCACAAATAGATTATTTTTAAACGTCAAATAAAAATAAGTATATACAGGAAGAAAGACAAAGTTTGTCCAGAGGTGTCCTGACTGATTATGAAGACAGTTCAGACTTTACACGTAGCATCGTATCGCTGCTGTGGAGATGATTAAATATATCACAGTCACCTCTCTGACATGATTACCACATTTCAAAACCAACCATGTTACTTTTTGTTTTATATTTTGCTGTATCACAGTTGGGGCAGGGACACCTGACTGAACCCCATGTTGACGGGGATCATCAGGTCTCCTGGTTCTGCTTCTAGGCATCTCCTCAGTAGCAGACAACAGGAGGAGGAGGAGGAGGAGGAGGTCTGCGTTTGTAACTGTAGTCCTTCTCACCTTCAATGAGTACAATCTCCACTTCCTGTACTTTTTGTTGTACACCTTGCTGTACCTGATAATACAGAAAGGAGGATCAGCTTAGTGAAAAGTTTGTAACACCTGACATCATTCTCTTATAGAGCAGTTAGCATTTCCACATAAAATGCAATCACATCAATAAATCAGCACCATCTGTCTGTATTCCTCATACTGTTTAATATTTTTTTGACTCATCACTTATAAATGCATTGAGTAAAATGCACAAGAGTTCTCATAATGCAACATACTGAACTGTGTCATCAGCTTTTCTCCTGGCTGGACTGTGGACACGGTGGTTGTAATCCAGGCCAGCCAGCACGGTCCGATCAGTGAATACTGGTGAGAAGTACAGGGTGTTGGAAGACTCAAATCTGACCTGAGGGCACAGTAGAAAGTAGCCTCAAAAAAAGTAAGAATTACCAACATAAAAGCTCCTGTGGTGAGTCATAAAAACTGAACGCTGCTTCTCCTTGTTTAGTTTAGACTCTGGGGACAGAAAGCAGACCTGATCCCAGACGACCTGAGAGGTCCGGATGTATTTTGGCCCTAAACCATTCAGTGCTTTATAAACCAACAGTACTTGTGAAAGATTGCTCAGGAGCCTACTCACCCCTGAGCAGTCACGCTTCCCCACAGTGGAAGACGTCCACCAGCAACTCAGGAGGTGCAAAACTGGCAAGGCCCTGGGTCTGATGGGATCACTGGAAGGCTGCTCAAGAACTGTGCCCTGGAACTCTCCTGTCCTGCACCCACTTTTCAAAGAACCACTACAAACTGCAACTGTCCCCACCTCCTGGAAAACAGCCACCATCATCCCTGTCCCCAAGAAACCCCGCCCTCTGAACTGAATCATTACAGACCAGTAGCACTCACCTCCATAATCCGCCAAAAGAGGAACAGAAGACGCTGTAGCATGCTTCCTTCGCACTCTACTTCAACATCTGGACTCCCCTGGCCATTATGCCAGGATTCTCTTTGTAGACTTTAGCTTAGCCTTCAACACAATGATGATAACTAAACTCCACCACCTCCATGTGCGCCTCTCCTCATTCGCTGGATCCATAATTTGTGGACAGACCACAGGCAGTGAGGGTGGGAGGCACCACATCCACCACCATACTGTCAACACTGGAGCCCCCAAGGCTGC